GTACCCTCAAGCGAGTACTTCGTCCCTCAAACCAGGGACACGTGAACGGTCGTTCACTTAGAGTTTGTATACTCTAGGAAGCCTACTTCCTCAGCACAAGGTGCTGTCACAGCACTGCTGTGTGACCCCGTCACAGGCTGAGTAGATATATTTTGCTCGCAGTCGTTGGCACTAAGCTGGTCAAGTCCCTACGCCCTCAGTACACTTCGACATCCGTCGTGCGCGCAACAGGCACTGTCAGTTCCCAATTGTGCAACATTCGTTCAACAATGATCTTACATCAAAATGTAAGCTGAAATTTGAGCGAGATAACATCGACCAAGTTACGCAGTACCGTGAATTAATTCGTTAATACCTGCCAAGGCATTCCCAGTATGATTAAGATTACGGTACGTGTTAAGCGTACCGTCATCTCCATAAACACCGAACCGTACCGTAATACCTGTCGTACCTGTATATCCCGGATATCATAATTATCGCGAAGTGGTTTGATTTAGCAGCACCCATGGTTCGCATATACAAAATTGGCATTGCACATTAACACTGAGCATACAGTAATATCCGAAAATGTGCATATTTACGCATTAAGTTTCACTTGTGCCTAGTTGGCAGAGATTTCACTGTCTATCCCGCTAACTGACATCGTGTGGTAGATAACGCTGCCTATGTCTCGAGTTGAAGATGGAGTCTTGCTACGAGATACAGCTTAAAGCCGCTGTGAAAATCGGCAGAGATCTTGAGATGTGTCAGCACCACGGCAGACCAGCAGAAAGGTTCAGGTGGAACCTGTTCATTCATCACTTTACAATATTCTTTTAGCCTGACAGCTCGTCTCCTCAGTTCTGTCATGAAGTTCTACGTTGTCGCCCTATTGGTGGTTGTCATGGTTTTTGTAAGTTCTGACACCGTCTCCGCTGCGAGGGAGTTGAAGTTGAAGCTGGCTGATGTCCCTTTCCGCGTGTTCGAGAACACCTCAAGCAAGAGGCTTCTCAGAACTTATCATTCCGGTGAGGAAGAGAGGGGGATTTCGGTGAATATCCCTGGCCTGGAGAAGCTCTCAAAAGCATTTACGTCAAGCAAGACCAAGGAGCTTCAGGGATTGCTTACGGCCGACGATTCGCTTGGGAATGCCTTCAAAACACTACAGCTCAGTAAAATGCCGATTGGTAAGGATGGTTTTATCGAGACGGAAATGGTGGTTAAGTTTTTATCCAGCCGCAACTTTAAGGTTTGGTCTCACCATGCCGCCAAGCTGAACAAGGAGGACTCGTACGGCGCCATGATTACAGCACTCACGAATGTCTTCGGCGATAAAAATGTGGTGATAATGGTCCTACTGGGGAAGCATTCGAGGAGCTCAAGCGGTGTCTCCAAGAAGTTGGAGACAGCGCTACTCAACAAGTGGTACACCGTCGACAAGTACAGAATAGCCGATGATATGGTTGCGAAGGTGTTGGGAGTGAAGAGAAATAGGATTCATGAGTACCCTCGGGAGAAGTTCATTTGGGGAGATTATTCAAAGTACATCACGAACAGAGTCATGAACTATTAGGAGAACCGCATTGGGGCTAAGACGTAGTAGCTCCGCTTGCGATTTTTCGATACGTTCTGTCTTCAACACTGGAGCGCACTTCCATTTAAGCTTAACTCCGTACACACACTGGTCAATGGTTCTGGTACTTGAATGGAGATGCAATAATTCTTGATCTGTACTAGTGTTGTTTAATACAGTATATATTGTATTAAACCATAAACCACTTCTGCAGGGGGTACCAATCAAAGTTCCATCGTGTGGTCTACAGAATGGCATCCATTTTTCTTGACATCTCTTATTAGAGATAATCTCACACGAAGTATCTCAAACGGTTAACGATTTGTCGGATAGAACGATGAGCTCTACTTTTTCACGGTAACACATCCGCCGCAAGCCTTGATCGTAGCACAACCTACGGAACGTTCAATTCGAGCCTTTCATTAAATCCACACTTTGAATCTAAAGTATGCAGTACAAAATGTAAAGATGTTGAGAGTGTATAGAAGATCGGCATCGTATGTGTTATGGAGAATTGGAGAATGGTGCCCGTCGTTCAGCTAAGGGTTGATCAATTCGTTTTTGGTTCGTTTTCGGACATGATCTAAACATAAGTCAGATAGTAACTTTAGGCCTAAACTCAGACCAGGCGATCACAGCGGAATATTGCTTTATTTACAAATGTTAGGTATGCATGAGCCA